TGCCTTTAAATTTTGACTATAATGCAGCCGAATGTTAGAAAAAATTATTCAAAAATTAAAGATTTGCTCACTACTGACATTAGAGTTTTGGCAGGCACACAGGGCCTTGCTAAGGGAGCCGATTTTGTCAAGAGGGACAATCACATATAGTCTGTTCCTTTGAACTCCGGACTGATCTCTCAAGTGAGAGTAAAAGGAGAATAGATGCAGAAGCGTAGGGGAACACAAAAGTCACTATTTATTTCCTGTAAAAACGCCTCATTACAAATGGCGCACGGCGTTGCCAACATTGTTAGTAATCAATTATAAATAATGGTATGTATTTCGATATGGGAGAATCTGCTGTTTCTAATTGGCCTTAGGCTTTCCCGACGATCCTAGTACCTGATAAGAAAACGGTAGTTCCCCCTTAAAATTTTAAATTTATAGCAATTATGATTATAAAGATACTTACCCTTTTATGATATTAGTACAACAAAGTGTAGAATTATACTTTCCGTGATCACTTTTATTTGCGAAGTTTTTAAGCAAATTAGCATAATTATATATGTATATACATTGCGTATTAGGCCACGTCAAAAAAAAAAAACACTAAAAATCCTGCAACAATGCTACCGGAATAAGACTCAAATTTTAGAATTTGGTATAGTAATGATCCTTCATGAATCTCACCTCTCGAGGACAATTGTAAGAGGTGCCGCCGAGAGCCTTTAGTTTTCCCATTGGAATTACACGTAAGGTGTATATAATTATATAATTATCTAGGATCAATGAAATTGCTTGGAACTGTAAGAATACATTGATTACATGCCATTTGAGTATTGTGCATGCTCAAATTCGTAAAATTCCAAATAATTTATATATTTACTATAAGGATGCTGTTTCAGGGCTAATACACATATACATACATCTAAGATCATTTAACAGTTGTTAAGATCTGTTAGCTTTTATGGAAAAAATTAGCAAAATTATTTTTTGTCACGTATTCGGCTCGCATAAATATGGTCACCGTATATACACTAGATTTGACCCCAGTCGGACAAGGGATTAAATAAGGATAATTTAGGAATTTAAATAATCTCAGCCTACATAACACTGGTCTACAAGGGTTTTGCGAATAAGACGGGACCTGGTGTTTCCGAACGGATTTTTCGTGCTGAACACGAATCTGGGGTCCAAAACTTCCCATCACGTCACGTTTTCGAGAAAAAAGGGGTTGAAACCCCTAAAAACAGCGTTTTTGGCCATTTTTGAAAAATTGTAGAGCTGAACCCTGACGTGCTACAAACTTTGTATATGTCAGAAATTAAAGGCTAAATCGTGCCCTTTCGAATGAGCCCTATGCCGAATTAATCGCATGCACCCTTAGATCAGGGGGTGTATTTGTGTCTAGGAGTCCAATTTTTATATCCACCATATTCGACCCGTCATCTTAAATTTTTAAAATATAACTGCAGATTCGTAATCAGCGACTTTTAATATAGTTAAAACCTTGGCATTATTAATTTTCTATGATCGTTTAAGATTAAATTCTTTCTGTGATCAATTTTTCCTGCACCCCTAAACACAAATACACCCCCTGCTTTAAGGGTGCACGCGATCAATTCGGCATAGGGCTCATTCGAAAGGGCACGGTTTAGCCTTTAATTTCTGATATATGCAAAATTTGTACCACGTCAGGGTTCAGCTCTATAATTTTTCGAAAATGGCCAAAAACGCTGTTTTTAGGGGTTTCAACCCCTTTTTTTCTCGAAAACGTGACGTGATGGGACATTTTTGACCCCGGATTCGTGTTCAGCACGAAAAATCCGTTCAGAAACACCAGGTCCCGTCTTATTCGCAGAAAAAAAGTTGAAATTTGTAGACCAGTGTAATCCTTAAATGGCATGTAATCATATACTATTATTCTTACAGTTTCGAGGTTTTGGAAAAATTTCGAATAATCGAACACCCTAGTGTGTACATAAACACATTCATTTAACGTCAACTTCTTAGATCAACTACGTAGGTACATACATATAGTATAACCGTAAAGAAGCACAATCTCAATGTGAAAAAATAGGAAAATGCCGCTCGACCGTAAATTCACTTCTTTGGCACTGGTAATATTCCTTTTCAGCGTTTGTCCTACTCCTAGCACACACGCCTACGATTGTCAAGTGTTTCTGCAAGACAAGGAAATCACAAGCACAGATTGGGCGAGCTTAGAGCCCTGCCTAGGATTGGCAAATAGTGAAGACATATCTGCTAATACAAGCGAAAATATTTGGCGTCTCATCAAGATTGTAAGATTTTTCAAATAGAAAAAAAATATCATAAACATTTTGGTTGTAACTCTAATTTCCAAGGCCTTTGATGGCGTTGAAAATGTACCACCAGAGGTGTATGGTAAAATTCGTTTAGTGCTTACAGCCATCACTAACGAAGAGCTGCATAACATTAGCATGGCACGTGTGGAGATAGTCGAGGCATTTGGTGGAGTGCATGCGCTGAATAGCGGCGACACGAACAAAGGCTTTACCGATGAACAAATAAAATTAATTGCCAGAAAAGTTCGTACGGAGTGGCTGGGAAAGCGACCGGAAACCTATTCCGAATATGATCTCGTTTCAATGGGCGAAATCGCATGCCATCTGAATGCGAGTGATATTTTCAATATACATGCGGATGCTTTCAAGTAATGTGGAGGCAAAAAGTTTATGAGTATATCGACAACCGAAATGCAAAAAGATGTTACTAATAATTTGTTTTTTTTTTTATAAAACAATGTGGGGAGTTGTGTAATTCGTTGAAATCCATCATATCAATCAAAACGTGAATTTTGAATTTTTTATTAGCTACGACTTCTTGCGTTTCAGCGACGATATTTGTTACGTCATTTTGCATTACAGGTGGCGATATGTACATATGTATGTATATAACATGTCCTTTATAATGCATATATGTAAATATTTTTCTAGAGCCGCTGCTGAATCGATTGGTAGTATTGAATCCTGTCCTGAAACTCAACTGCAGGCTTTTGCCAAATTAGCGTTGCGAAAGGAGGCCTTTGGTGAGGCAAAGGATTGGTCGAAAATTGTTGTAAAAAAAATAGTTCAACACAAGGTTTTCTTAGCGTATACAATATTTTTTTTTTTTTTTTTAATAGGTCAGCTTGGTTGGCAACATTGTCAACGGCCTATCGCAGCCCGATATGATAGCTATCGACGAGAGCAAACTAAAACTTAATCAGTTCTATGCTCAAAAAAAGAAAAAAAAGAGTCACAAAGGTCAAAAGAGACATGTTGAAAATGGCGAAGAACAAGAAAAGTCGACAAAAAGGAGAACGTCACACTAATAAGGATTAACATCGATACTATTAAACTCCATTACTCAGTACCAGCATTATTTATGAATCGGTTAATTATAATTTGGTAATTGTCCACGATAATAAGTCAGCAGTTTTCCGAACCGAACTGCATCAAAATTGTCATATCGAAAAAATTGCTGACTTATACATACATATGTATATGGATTAATATAAATATTCACATACATACATACTGTAACACACAAAATTGAGCGTACGGCTCGTTTTTGTTAATACATATTCGCAATGTTTTACATGCTAAAATCTTTTTGTTAATTTTGAATTAAAATATGGCTTATATTTTAATGAAAAAAAAAAATGCGAAGGACAGTCAGCAAAAAATTCTCAAAAATCAATACGAATTTTTAGACATTTGAAATTGAATGGGCTATAAAACTACATACCTGCATGCTTTTTAGAAATTCGTATTAAAAAGTTCGAGATTTTGATGAAACTTCGCAGATTCGCTTAATTTTCGTATACTGTTTCATTCTTGGATTTAAATGGGGTTTGCTAAAATAGAAGCCCCATTTTAATACAAAATTAACAAAATGATTTTAGCATGTAAAACATTGCGAATTTCAACAAAAAAGAGCCGTACGCTCAATTTTGGGAGTAACAGTATGTATGCATAGACCCTTAAAGCCATAAAAAAGTAAAATTTTTGAAAATAAAATAAAATAAAGTTTCTCGTGACCACATTAAGCGCCGGTTAATTTTTCGACGATTTAACAGGCAGCAGCATCAAGCGTACACTAGATTTTTTTTTATATTGACATAAAGGGCTGGTTTCTCCAACTCAACTTATACAGATATATCCTAGCCTAGGCAAAAGTAGTTTGACCTAAGATCAGATTTTACCGGTAACATATATGTACATACATACATACATACATAGGCACATGTAACTTACCTACCTGTTTGCTCTTATAACAAAATGTTATTGCAGATAGTGGAATTTTCAAAATGAGAATATAATATCATTAAAGCTATATTTTAAATTTGACATTATTGTCATGGCTGAAGGATTAATCGCGGAGCTCACGTTACCATCGAAAACTTATTTTGATCAAAATTGCAGATAGAGGATATTGAATATAAGCCCTCGATATGTAGCTGTAATATATTTCTTACAAATACAAGTACGAGTATTTCTGTTGCGAATTTGTGGCATATTATAAGTAGCCTAACCGCTGAGTTTTTTCGTAATCATCGCTGAATTTTCTTCCCTTTTCCCAACCTTGGCACCAGAGAAATTTTTGTATACGATTAGAAATTTCTTTAATTTAACAAATATTTTGTATATATTTTATTAAATCAAAGCAAAATTTGCATTAATACAAAGATCTGTGTTAGTAATCATAAAATAAAAATCTTAAACATTAGACAAATTATGGATTCGTTAATAAAAATTTGTTTTAATCTGTTAAGAGTTTTTCCATTATATAATAAGACTCAAATTCATACACATCATACAATAGACGCAGTGCACAAACATATATGTGAATACATATTTCCAGGCGTACATATAAACATTTATGATAAAGCGAAGCTTGTGTGCTGAATTATAGCAGTGGCGACTTGTAACAACTAGGTGCCTGCTTTTAAACTATCAGGACTCGAATCGTCACGTACGATATCGTATTACTCGTCACGTGAAAACACCTTTTTCGGATTATTGTATGTGAACGTATCACGTAATTTTCTTTCGTATGGTTGTCGATCCGTGATCGGATGTTACGATTCGAGCCCAGGACTCACTTCTATACTATCAAATAAATACAGAGAAAAATTGCTGTCAATTCAGGATACATATTTATGTACATATATACGCCGGTTATCAACGTTTCTCATTGATGGGTGATAGCGTGTTGCTATTTTGTGAGCTGGGCCGCTCTATGGTCATTGTCTGTTGTGGCACTTGGCTATCCGGACTAATGCCCAGTCCTGTGTAAATTTCTTTCATTACAAAGAGTATCGTGTCTTCAGATTCCCTGCAATGATAAGTACGAAGAGGTAATAACACATTTAGATATACTTGTGATTGTACTTGTAAATAATAATAATATAAGCGTCGATGATGCATACATATCGAGCCCTAACCGCCAAAATAACGTAAGCGACATTTTTTTCAAAATTTTCTTTTTGATGCAGAAATATTACTAGAGCATCCAGATGCCATTCTACATCAAAAAGAAAATTTTGAAAAAATTGTCGCTTACGTTAATTTGGCGGTTAGGGCTCGATATAATGTAGCACGTGCGGAAAACTTAGCGAATCCTGAAAAGTTAAAAATTAAACTAAAGTATTTTAATAAAAATCAGGGTTCAAATAAACTATAAAAATATTAACTTTTGGATAATACTATACTTGACTATATTCTCCATTTTGATCGCATGCGAGGCACAAGAAAAATGAACGCGCACCGCATATATTGGATGTCAATTGGCACTTGTTTCTAGATGCTTTAAGATCTAAATATATTTTAGAACAATTTTGAATCGCTACATCCCAGAAATGGTAATTCTTAGGAAAACAAATTTATACTAGGCAACACTGATTTTGGTGCGGCAAATGTTAAAGCGGTTTTTGATAGACTTTTTTGTGTGCTGATTACGAATCGGTAAGTAGAAAGTTTCCATCAGCTCCAGATTTTGAAAAAATGAAGTCAAACTGTCAAAAAATCGCGTTTTTTGCAACATTTCGGAAGCTCTAGTAAAGAAACAAAAGGTAGTAGTACCATCCACGTAGGCTTAAATTAAAGTTAGCACCTTGACCTGATGGCCACTTTTAGTTATTTATTGAGCAATAAAAAAAAAGAAAACTGGAAAATTCCGACCAAGGCCATGGAGCAATAACTTGCAGCCGGACTGCTCCGGATCCTTCTTCTCCGGGCAGGCATTGATTTCCACCTCGGACTAAAACATACTTCTGCTGCATTTGCCAGAGACGACAAGCTTTGTGGCCCTCTGCTGCTCTACCCGCAAACGGCACGCATTCAAAGCATCGAATAACACAGGGATATAGAAGTTTGGTTCAACATGCAGAAACTTTTATTTTTGTATACTTGTGTTATTATTTTGTTCGAAAGGTATTTCAAACGAGAGGTGCGCAATGTGTCTATTTTTCCGGAAGGTGGCCCGACTTGCTTCAAATCACTCCACCTAACAATATTAGTAATATAGAACATCAGGAGGTGCTCATTTTTTCTTCATCGAAGAAGCTTGTGGATCGAAGTCTGTGGATCCATGATCTCCGTGTTAAGTAAACTGCATCAAACAATCGCTGTTACAAATATTTTTCGTTTTTCGTAGCAAATTTATTTAATTTTACTTGGCTAAACAGTAAAAAAATAAAAATAAATAAATTTTCACAATCAACATTTGCGCGGCAACCAAAAAATGTAGTTGCCAATATAGCAATTCAGTTGTAAGCTTTCCGTTGCCAGTTACCATCTGTAATACAATTTCAGCCACTGGCAATGCAACTGAAGTTCGGTTGCCGGAAAAAGTTTCTTACTTTTATGAGAGTATTTCGTACCTACACACATTTGCCCAGAAAAAAAAAAAAATAATAACTGTATACTGCAATAGGTTTGTTATTGCTTAGATGAAGCCAAGTGTACATTTGTGCAGCGGTTTAACATACAAATAAATAACCGAATTCGTTAACTTACCAATAACAAACATGCGCGCCCATGGCGAATATGTACTCGTTGATGAATTCCAATGGTGCTTCTTGTAAAACATAATCGATGCGCTTGGAGTCATTCAATTTACCCAAAGGAAAATCTATTTCAACCAAATCGGAATCAGATTGCGACGTTGACACTGAATCGGAACGTGTACGAGGCGGTTCTGTGTTCGCTTGCGTGGAGCCAGCATGCGGCTCACTGGATAAACTAGGCTGCACTGCTGCTTGCTGTTGTTGTTTCTCTGCTTCTATTTGCATACTTAAAACCTAAAGATTACGTTTGAAGAACGAAATAATGTTTAGTGGTGCATAATATGCTTATCACTCATGTATGTATAACCGATCCACATACATACCTTATCAACTTCCTTTGACATGTTCTCCTCCGCATCGCGGCTGGTTCGCGTCGAGCCTCCCAAAAAATTAACACTTTCCAACGTATTTTTGAATGTATCCAAGAACCGTTGTTTCAAGTCAGCACCCACACGAGTCATTGTCTCTTTCAACTCCAAATGCATACGTTTACGTCCCTTGTGATGTGGTATCAGTACTGGTCGCACATTGCTCAAATCGGGATTAACCAGCGCTTCGATGCGATAAGCGACTGGATCGAAGGGATGGAATATGTTGTAAAAGCCCGAACAAGTAGGCAGGCGAAAGTCAAGGCCAAGCTTATCAATGCCACGAATGGTGACAAACATGCCTTTTGAAAAGGAAAATATATGAGTTTAATAGCGTTGGGGTAAACAACAGCGCAGATTACTGAAAATGGGATACACTCACCGATTGGTGAACCCAATGCGAAAACTTTTTTCGGTTCAAAATTAAGCTGTGGATAATGTATAAATGGCTGACCAGTACCAGCGTGGCCCATTGTATAGCTTGTAACGCTCAGATCGTCATTGCTGACGTCCATGGGGCTTGTGCCGAGCTGATCGGGATTCTCCTGCAAACCCAAGGAAAAAATAAAAATAAATATAAGTAAATAAAGTAGAGCGCCACGCACGGAAGTGAAACTGTGCTTATTTCGAAAATTTTAATTTAAATATGGCTCATTCCACGGTGACTGGTGTGACATTTCAACCTACATTTTAAGGCTTAATTCTTAAATTATAATATAAAATCTTTAAAGCATTTGAGCATCGAGCGCACCTCTCCGCATTCGTTTTCTTATACTTTTAAGTTATTTTTACTGATGAAGAAAAAAGTAGGAAGAAACTAGCGGTGCATCGAGTTTTTGTGAAAAGGCTGAGAAAAGAACATTAAAATTTGGCAGCGCTCACTCAGGGTAGAATAAGTGAAGCCTTCTTTCGAGAAAAGAAAACATGCCGTTTTATAATGTGAAAATGCTTAATCAAATACTTTTTCTGTTCAAAATTATCAAATCGCTAATATGAAAACCCCGAAAATTATGCTGTTTGAAAAAATCATGTCATGTTTTTTCTTTGTGTAGTAAATTTAACCTTATTTGACAAGTGGTGAACCCAAGTGTATGAGTACTTACTAAATTCTGTTCCTCGGTTTCCTTCGGCGCTTTTTGGTGACAAAGTAAATCGAAAAGTATCAACGAGCCCAAACTATGCCCTGCGACTGAGACACCGCCATTGAATTCTGGATGACGTTCGCGGTATTTATTGTACACTTCGTTCATAGACGCAGCCACTGTATTCATAATCTTTTGACAATATTTAGGACTGGTGTAAAAGAGCACATCCAACAGTGTATCGTTGGTGAAATTTCGTAATTTCGGTATTGACTCCAATGTTATTGAACGCAGTTTTTCATCAATGCCCATTTCCTCTGAATGTAAGTGGCTATGCCATGAAATAGGCAGCACTTCGACGCGGCCTACAAGTCCCATCTCAGTTGAATTTTTGTAGTGTGACTGAACCAAAGCCTGTGCAATGTTGCGAAAGTCGTCAACTGAATGTTGAGATAGTAAATATTATTTGGCATTTAAATGCAATTTTTGAACCTAGAAATGTTTTTGCAATTACGGCTTAATACGGCATTCCCAATTACCAATCGCAATCCATTCACACGGACACATTCTTAATTCGATTTGACAGTTATTTGTCTCTGTGTTATATGGTATCTTCTTTTGGGTACACAATGTGAGTTATTGTTAAAAATTTCCATATTAAATTGGTGATGTACATATGTACATACTATTTATTAACGTTACTTTTAGTACTAAGAAAAATTTCCGATAAAACTTAGGGAAGGCTGCAATTTGCTCGTAATTCGCATGGTAATTCGAGCGCGAATTATGAACGAGAGAGCAATTGGGGTGCCGTGGGAAAGCTGTATAACTATTGCTTCGTACTAAACTAACCAACTTCATCGACGCTGCGCATTTTCAAATCGCATGCCGAACCAATGCCATGTACCATCAGCAGTAAATGATCGACGCGCTCCGATTCACCCTGTTCGATTGTGAATTCGTCAAGGTCACGCTTAACCACACGAGGTCGGGTTGTTGTTTGCTACATTAAATAGTTATTTGAATTTATATTCGTTTTATATTAAGATTAACCTCGAAGATACATATATGTATGTACTTACTGAAGTACCGCCCCATGCGTCGGTAGACTGTTGCTGCTGAAAATGTACAATAACGGTGGGTCCATGGAATGTCACCTGCTCATGCATAGACAAAACGATCTTCTTATGCCATTCTCCGCTATCAAATGCCTGTTTATACTCGGATTCAAGTAGATCAGCGATTGACTCTTCATAAGGTACCATTTTGGAGTCGGTGCCTTTATAGAACCATGAGCAACGTCTGACCTCTATGGGAGCACATTCCCAGTAAACAGCCGTTTTGGTACGCTCCTTTATATTTACATCATAGCGGCCACCCTCGACGGCGACAATATTCGGAGAATTGGCTGCAAGTACAAATTATAACATACATACATAAATGACCTACAGTATTGTAACTATTCATGTGAACAGCTGAGAGGATAGACAGGCGGCACCGTTGACTCGAATCAACTCGTTCATTTGAAATTACATCAGGGATTAACTGCCAGCTGTTGTCTATTCAATAGACTCTATTGCCATAGTATCGATTTCCTATTACCAGTCGCTCTAAAACGTCCGCCGAAGGCAACTCGCCTGGGCGAGTCGTTATCTTATTACCTGAATGCGTAATTTTCTTATCGTTTCAGGCAAGGTGTATTGAAGAAGGTGGGATTGACAACCCAGGTAGGCTCTCTTTTAAGGTACCAAAAAATATAAACAAAAATATAAACAAGCGATTCAAAATTCATAAACAATTTTTTCAATTTAACTTTATAGGGTGGTTCATGATACAATAATTTTTAGAAAGTAGTTTCACTTCAATATTTTTGACATAAACCGTGTCTGTTGGGGATTTTCGCATGTAAACATGTAAAGATTTATAAATTTCATAATTGATCACTTCATTTTTAATATACATATGTATGGGTATTTAATACATACATTTTTGCCACTGCTATTCACATGAATAAAAATCATAAAAATGAAAATGTAACGGCAATATTTCTTGTTTAAAATGTTTTAGATCCATCGCACAACACGGATTTTATCGGCCCCCGATTTAGTTGGGCTCGCTAGTCGCTTTCCATTGCACCACAACTAATTGGTCGGAGCGATTAAGTTGGTGTAGTGTGCGAACCTCCATACATCTTCATGTACATATTTCAAGCGGGCCCTACTATTTAAATAGGGGGCCGATAAATTCTGTGGTGTGCGGTGGCCCTTATACATAGCTGCAACCTTACATCTATTCCGTGTGTTGCAATATCCATGGAATTAGCAGTTAATTTTTTCTTAATTTTTTTTTGAAGAAAATTATTTAAAAATATTAGAAAATTCCTCTACTTATATGTTTGGCTTTCTTTTGTTTTATTTTTCCAACGCCAAAAGCTGGATTTTTTTTGAAAAAGTTGGTAAAACAAAAAATACCTAGCTAAGATGGCGGATAATAAGAAGAAATGAAACTACCTTCTAAAAATTATTGTATCATGGGGGGTGGTTTTTCTGAGAGCAATGCCAAATTCAAACACACTTTGTTGAATACATTTTGGTTTCAGGCGATGTTTGAAATAATTTTATTCTTTTAATACTTCATTTATTTGTATGTATACGAAATTGGAACTTAGAAACGGAATTAATTCTTTATTTCGCTGTGGGGCTTCCTATTTTTTCAATCCTGTCCTTGGTATATATTAGACGATTTTGGATAATACTGTTGACAACAAATGTATAAGTTTTGGGAATTTTTGATAACTTATTTATTCCAACGTTGACATGAAAGAAATGATGTTGCCGATTTGTTATCATAGCAACAAATCGGTGTGTCGCCATTGTTGTTGCCATTAACGATTGTTGCTCATTTCTCCTGTTTTGCGTGGTGGGACCTTACTATATTTTTTATCATGGTACAAACCACACACTCGTACGTACACGTGGTAGTCACATATCTATAGAAATTATGAAAGAAAGTCTGAACGTACTTGATTTGAAGTGAATTAATTGGATCGAAACAAAGTAATTTATGTTGCAGTATGAACATAGTTTGTAGTAGAAGAAACTTATTGCTGGCACCCTTGTTTTGTTTGCTTTTAGAATGAAAAAACATACATACATATACCGTTTCTTACGTTTTTTCTTCATTTCATAACACAAGTGGAAAACGTAGTAAGAAATAGACACAAAGAAGTGCAACTGACTCAAAGAACCACGCTGGTCATTTGACTGTCTGCGTAACTCGACCCACGACCCAATGTTGTCGCCTGTCTATGCTATAACACAACTTACCACCCATAGATAACGTGGTTTCTAACAAAGCAGAATCATAGTGACTAAATGGTGTCCACACGAACTTGTTGCTACCCGTCGGCCGCTTGTAAAACCAATGCTTGACTGCGGGCGAATAGGGCTGAAAAGTAAAAAAAAATAATAATAATAATAATGCGATGAAATTTATTAATAAGATATAAAAATTAATGTTTTTCTTTGGTGGGAGTATCACTTGAAAACGGTTGGACCTATTACGCGAATTGTCTTAATAGTTCATTGTAATCTACATATGTACAGTGTGACCTGTATATGTTCATACAAAAACAAAGGAGTTTTTATTAATCAAAGCTGGATTTGGAAAAGTGCAAATGGTTACCAATTATAAGTTGAAGGTTAAAGATTTGGTTTAAAAGGCAGTTACTCTATTATATGGCCATTGTTTTACACAAAACGTTAAGTCTTTTTTTCAAAACTGTTGCATGCGGCACGCACCACGCCCATCGGTATAGATACTGTCCTATTAGTCGAGGATGGCTGTTCATAAAGGTTTTGAGTTTGTAATCTTTAAGTTCCTGCAGCATATAATCCCAAATGCAAGAGACCATGGCATTACAGACAAGTGAGCTCGGAGGCCATTTATCCTTGGGAATAAATCAATTTTTTTTTTTTTTTTAATTTTGTATACTTACATATATTAGATATATGTATAAATGTATGTATACAAGTACTTGAAATACTTCGCAGTTTCGTATGTACATTAGACTGATTAAAAAAAAATCTACTAATTTTTCTTTTAACCTTCATTACCTTCAGAGGGATGTTAAAAGATGCCTGTTAAAAGCGCAACCCTTAATATTAAGTTTAAAAGGTCGCGCATCGCGGATCACAATTTTCCATATAAATTACTTAGAAAAAAATTGTTTTCAACTTTGGAATTTGTCTTCTCGTCTTTGAATTATCGGACTGAGTGCGGTACACACTTTTGCAGGAAATCAGAAGTCCTACATGAAACTTCCCATATCATTTTTTGATAAACCTACTGGTTTAACGGTTATTCAAACTTAAAGATAATCTATGTCATTATTACAGTTTTTTCTCCTAGGTCAAATAATTAAATTTATTTTCAACTCTCCAGGTTAGGTTAGGTTAGGAGCGCGTGTGTGCAGAGCACGGACTTGGAAAAATTAATATTGGTAGATTTCCCAGCGAAGTCGGTCAGCCTCAATCCGTTGTCGGACGTTTCGTCGTGGAGGCTGAATTTTCCGACGATCGTTCCAAAGATCCCTTCCTTGCCCACCCTGGCATTGAAGTCTCCAAGCACGATTTTGATATCATGACGGGGGCAGCGCTCTTACGTGCGCTCCAAGCGCTCATAGAAGAGATCCTTGGATGCCTCATCCTCCTCTCCCGTCGGAGCATGGGCGCAGATGAGCGAAATGTTGAAGAATTTCGCTTTGATGCGGATTGTGGCTAGACGCTCGTCCACCGGGGTGAACGACAGTACTCGGCGACGGAGTCTCGACACTGGTAATCTATGCAGGTCCAGACGAATACATATAAGGTGGTAGCGATTCAACAAATGCAACAATTACTTATATTTTAGTTTTGCGCTTAGCGGACCATTTGCAAATTTCAGCTATTCTCCCAGAATGAAAAAGGGCGACAGAAAATACAAACACTCTCACGTTTTCACTCACTCACTAACGAAATACAAAATTTTGACAATCAAATGCTACTCACAGTATAAATTCGCCTTGGATGCAGGTATAAAATTCTTGCATAACAACACTAACTTTTTAATTTTTTTGGATTACAACACTCTTGCAGCAAATCAAACTTTCAAACTTTATACAGAATTCAGAAAAATTTAACATATTTTCATCGAAATTTAACTTACCACAGTCGTTGGTGGCACCGTCGCGGCTGCCTTCTCTCCAAGCAGCATACTAGCCATTCTTAGTTCACGTAAGACCTCCTCTGGCAAATCCTCGTAATGCTTTTCCGGTGCTAAATCGGTAGCAGAATTTGCAACTGCAGACGCAAGTGGTGAATCTGCAACTGCAATTGGTTCAGAAGCTACTTCTTGCACCGCTGGCTGGAACTCAGCAGGTACTCGCACTTCTTGCTGTGTTATAGGGGCTGTTAAAGTCTTCTCAGGGCTACGCTTGGCAAACACTTCAGAAGGCAAAGTACGCGCACTCACGTTGCTATTATTCCACTCTGAAAACTCCGAGCACGATGAGGAAGGCGGTTCTACCAAATTAGAAACGGATGTAAGCGAGCCCAAATTACGGTGGGCTAGGCCGCTATGCACCAAATCGTAGCCAAGGTCACCTACACCGGAGTTATTTTCACGTTGTGGTGGATTGTTGAAGAAATTTTGTAAACGTTGGTCCTCGTTCGATTGAGCGACTGTTTGGTGCTGTTGTTGATGTTGTTGGTGTTCCCCTTGTTGCTGTTGTTGTTGAGTGGACAACGAATTGAATACACTTTCAGATTGCGGCTGAGACTGTGATTGTGTAAATGTGTCAAAGAAATGAGCCGTAGATGAAGTGTCTGTTGACGGCACCGCTACAGTTGGTGGAACTATCTGTTCTTGTCGTTGTTCGTTTTGCGTTTGTTTACTTTTAGTTGTATGCTTTGAAGGTTGCTCGAAGTAAGTAAATGAATTTACAACACCCGACTGCTGAGTTTGAGTTGTGCTAACAGTAGAAGACGATGTTTGCACGTTTGTGACAATAGCGGCGAGAGTAACTGTTGAGTTAGTATTTGAGATTGATGGCGCAACTACTGCTTGCGCTTCAATCTGAGTAGACTGCAAGGACGTCGACGGTAGAATATTATCAAAGCCGATTGGAAGTGGAACACCCAGCGGGGGTGTCGCTGTAATATCAACAGCTGTAGTTGGAGCCTCGCGCGTAATTGAGGGAGGTGCAATACCAAGCTGTGGCGGTAATGGTGGCAATTCGGGTAGCTGTTGGTGAGTCGGTGTGGGCTGAAAGAAGTTAGACTGTGTCTGTTCGCAATAGCCAAAGAAGCCAGCGGCACTAGGTAATGCAGCAGCAGCAGCAGTAGGTATCGCGGGTTCTTGTGTATTTTCCGCTGAACAAGCAAGTGGCTGATGTTCGACGGCGCTCGGTTGCAAAGACTGATCTTCTACTGGAGACGTAATTATATTGAATGAATCTGTTACACTTGAACCAGTTATGCCTGGCGCATCGACAAAGAAGTTTGCTAACTTCGGCTGAGTTTCGCCCTTTGGCTGTGGCTGTGGCTGTGACTGAGGGCCTGGCACGATTGGCGATGCACCGAGGTTTCTGCGGAATGGATTTGCGTTTTGATTTTTATTTAGCGGCCGACTGATGTTTGGCACACGAGGAGGTAAAATCGGGCTGACTCCAGGCGTGATTTGTGTATCTGGTTGAGGTTGCACCAATAATGGAGTGTTAGATTGGGTTTCTTGTGCCGTTTGCGTTGGAACGTTTAATTCAGGTTCTTCAACTAAGTTTGAATCAATGTTCGGTTCTTTCGCATGCAAATGCTGCGCTTCGAATTGGGTAGGTAAATTTTGAGTTGAAGGCAGCTGCACTTGTTCAAGGTTATGACTTAAAACCTCTTCCTTTTCTTCTCCTTTAGGAGTCTGGAAAGTATGTTGATGAATTGTTGACTCCGATGGCTGCAGCTTTATTGAAAGCTTTCTTAAAGCTTCAGGCAACGCTTCGGATTGATTCTCAGCTTCGGTAGATGTCTGTTTTTCTGTTTCAGTGTTGTCGGTTGAGCATACTTCTGGTAAGAAAGCTTCAATAGTTTGCTGCTGTATTGTAGCCTCTATGTCTTTTATTGTTGAAGATTGGCTTATAGAACTTTCCACATTCGCTACTTCTCCTGCTGTAGTGGCCACATGCAATGTTTTCGGCTCCGCGGTTGTGAATCTTATTGTATCCTGCTCTTCAATGGTAACACCGGCCTGTGATTGTTCGTCGTTTGTCGCCCGTTTTTCTTCCGTTACCGACTTCTCAACGGTAAACAGTGCAACATTTGATTCCGATGGCTGAGCAATGAAATAACTTGGCACCAAAGTTGGAGTAGCAGAAGGAGCTAGAGGCTGTGGCACACTTGCTGCCACTGACGAGCCAAAAGGATTAAATAAACTTGTAGGTGGTACGGGTGACTGAACTATATCAGGCTGTACGTGGACGGGCGCAGTCTCCGCGGAGGTCAGAGGACTCTTATAGAGCCGTGTACCCTTCTGCAAGCGAAATGAAGTCGAGCCGCCGGTAGTTGGAGGAAGAGGCGCCTGATTACCGACAACAATTTGTTGGGTCGGCGGTGGTAAAAAAGTACTTGTCGATTGAGGAGGACATGTAGTGTCCTTGCTACTTGTTTCTGGTATTAGTGGCAGATGTGCTGCGTTACTTGCACCCAAACCTTTTTGATTGATAAATGGCAAACCAGTTGAAAATGGTTGCTGGACCACCTCTGCGGGTGTAAGAAGCTTTGTCTGTATCAGTGGTTCGTTTAAAGGACAAGGCGCTGTAGCTGTTGTTGGATAATTTTCTTGCGGCGATAACACCGCTGGTGTAAATGGCTTTCCAGTGGCTGCGAGTGGTGCTGCGTTGACCTCTTGCTGTTCCGCACCCGCAAATAGCGGACCTAGTGAAGACGTCTGTTTTGTGGGATCAAAGTAAGCAATAGGTGTTGTCGAGGCTGATGGACGTTGTTTGCTAGACTCTGGCGGGACGCTTTTAGGTGGCGCAGCTACAAAACCCGACGTGGGTGGTGGTGGTGCAGGCTGGCTCAGAGACGGTGTCGGACGCTGTTCAAATAAATTTGAAGTTTGCTGTGTTGTTGGCGCTTGCCCTTGGGAAACACTTTGTTGTGAAGGTGGCAACTGTATAGGTGCAAAGAGTTCAGATGCCGATGGGTTTCCCTCTAAGAGGGCAGAGTGGGACTGTGGTGCGAAAGGCTGCGGTGGCACTATGCTAGTAGCAAAATATTGGCCTGCAGGAGCACTTGCGACCTCTAGTGGTAGTTGTTGATATGCACCCGAATAGCCGTAGTATGGTTGTTGTGAATGCTCTTCAGTGAATTGTTTATTTGAGCCCTGCGTAAAAGTATCTGCTGCTGTTTGTACTAAACCGGAGATATTTTGCAGCACTCCACTTGGCACCAGATTGCTGATGTTTGCAAAGAGACCACCACCAGTCTTGCGCTCTTCCTGCTTGAGTAACTGCGTTGGAAACCCAAACGGATCTGTTACCGATGTGGTCTGTGTTGGTAGTGGTGGTACGCCCTGAAAAGGAGCTGTCGAGCTTAAAGGATCTATGGTCGGAGCAACAGGGGCTGCTGGTTGTTCTGATAGTCCTGGTATGGGGGCGTATAACTTCTTCTTCGCCGCTAAACGGTAAGTGTTCTGTCCACCTGGTATCGGTGGAGGCGGTACATTAGCTGTGGGCAGATTTGTAAATTCCGTGGGTGTATAGAATTTGGGCGGTTCTGGTGGTGATGCTGCGTGGCTCTCCGATGCTTCGAGTACTGGATTACCAGTAGGCTGGGCGGCCCCTGCTGTAGGTGGCGCGTTTACTTGTAGGTTGCTATAGTACGGATATTGTTTTTGAACAGATGGTTGCTGTTGTTGTTGTTGTGGTGGTGACGGGAATTGCTGTTGCAAGTACGTTGGTTGTATATCCAACTGTGATGCTAAGGTGCCGTTATCACTTGTCGGTGTTCTTTCGCGACTGTTTGAGCCAGAATACTCAGAGATTCGTTTGGAAAATGTCGATAAAACACTCGAAGCCACCGATGGCAATGCAGAGAAGGAAGACGCTGCCTGAGTAAGTATTGAATCGGATGGCTGATTGTTCGTCTCGGACCAGAGTTGGTTTGCGTTCGGATCGTTGAGCCCAGCGGTGTCGGTTGCTGATTGCGTTTCGTCGCTGGTTGGGTTCAAATTGATTTCGTCTAAGCTCTCAGTGTCTAAATCGGTTGAGCTGCCGATTGTGACGAGCGGTTTTGGTTCTACGGAGATGAAAAGAAACAAGAAAAAGTTTTGGTAAACTGTAAAGTTATTAAGACAATGTTGAACGTTTTCGCTCATTGCGTAATTTTCCAATATACATACATTGGGCTTGGTTCACATTCGAAAATGACTGGAAAACAAATTTTTTTTTTGAGTCTCACCTTCGATAACGAATTTGGAATAGGTTAGTATTCGATTCGAGAACTAGGCCATTCTCCAGCAAAACGGAACCTTCGTTATCCAATGTAATTTCCCTTCGTTATGAACTTGAAATCCAGCCCATTATGGAATTCAAATTTTAATGAGGAAGAGTGATTGTCTTATATTCAAGGCGAATTTATATGAAATGGCATTGCTAGAACAGCTGATCTGATTCGCCTCGGTACATACGTGCCAAAGTTTCTTATGAGTGAGTGAGAAAATGCGAATGTTGAAATTTTCTTTCCCTCTTCTTCGTTGAGCGAAGAATAGCTGAGAATTTGACATTTGTGTACCGAAAGCGAAAACAAAATACATGTTAAGTTTTTGTTTGGTACTACCGCTACCACCTTATACGAATTCGCCTTGGCTGGATTTCTGGACTTCTCTCTTGTTACTTACTACCTTTTCTATTTTTTTTTCGAATCCATCTCAAATGTATTTCCAATATACTATGAACGTTGGAAAACTAAGTTTGGTTATGAGTTCGTTCCCAGTTCGATATGCATATTTGATATCGAAGGTCATTTTCGAACATTCACCATAATGTTTATTGGGTTATTTCATTACACAAATTTCGAAATTACATAATGCAAATCGAGCCCTAACTGCCAATAAAACGTAAGCGACATTTTCTTCAAAATGGTCTGTTTCATGCAGAAATTCATCTAGAGGTTCTAGGAGCATAAAAATCTCTTACGTTTTTTGGCGGTTAGGGCTCGATATGTACATACATACATACAGTACATATACATACATATGTGATTTATAAGAATTGCGTGAAGTTATGCGGTTTGAGGTTTATAAAACAGTACAAATGTACAGAACAGTGTTCGGACCTCCAAACTCGACTCAGTACTAAATCGCTGCAAAAATCGGGGCAAAACAAATTTTCCGTACTAGATTGAATTTTTTTATTTTTGTGTCTGACATTAATTGTTTGATTAAAATATTTTCTATTCATGCAAAATAAGAACGCGAAGGAATGTAAGGATAATATGTTACATATTTAGGTAATTTTTAGCATTTTCTATAAAGTAGAACGTATCTAACACTTAGTTTTTTTGAAAAGCAAACCTTTTCTACTTTATATAAATTTCATTCTACATATATTTTTTAACAACTTAAGTAAAGTTCTGCATCCGCCAATTTGTACAGTCATACATCAAAAAATAACAAAGTTACTTTATTGACGCATTGCTATGAAAGAGTTACTTTTTAACAGTGAGATTTGGCTAACTTTCAATTTTTTTTTGCTGAAACCGGTGGTGAACACTCAAAAAACGGCCCCAAGAGGGGCATAACATTAATGAAAAAAACGGAATAGATTTGAAGTCAAGCGGAGTAGAGGAGTGGATTTCAATTTTTTTTCGAAAACCGGAGTAAATCTAATCTGATCTTAGTCGAGTCTAAACACTACGAACGAACGAATTCTTTACATTTTAACGCTAATGACCCACAGATGGCGGGAAAACACAGGGTTGTATCAGACTTTCGACGTGGTGTCGAGTTGGTTAGCTTTTAACCATCTCAATGAAATGGTTAAGTGCTGTCATCATTTTATATCGCGAAACTACGCTAAATCAAGTGGGTTATCGGGATAACGAACTCAATAGCCATAACTACGTGGTTAGTTCCGGTGGGAACATGGTATTAGGTATTCAAAGGAAGTTTCAGTTACCCTCGAATAACTGTAAACATAAATATTAAAAAAATATTTTTTGTTTGTTTTTAAGTTTAATGAAACGCTGCAAGTTGATTAAAAAGTTAAAAAACTAAATAAAAAACTTAAATATTAGTGTTAAATAATGAAACACACCGTTGATTTACGTGCAAGGTGAAAATATATTTACAAAAACCTTTGTCAGATTTATTTAATTTACATATACGCCATCCGTCCGTGAACCTTTTCTAAATCTACGTAAAAATTCATAACAAACTTGTCAACTTTCAAGTGCATGAGGTTATTTGAAAAAAATGTTCACGAGCTACGCACATAACATACAAGATGCCGGTAATGCGGCACACATGTGATAGATACAAAAGTTAAACATTAGAAAGCAATATGTCCTGCATACTAAACGAAGCGAATAATCGGCAGTCTCATTGTAAATGCAAAAGGCGTTTGGCAATGTTTCAAACGTTTAACAAATGATTTTATGAAGCTAAAGCCAGCCCGTATTTATGCATACCTAAATTACATATATGTACATACATATGTAGGTATACAACGTTCTAAAAACACCATTAAATTTATTATTAATGTAACTATGTATGTATGTGCATATACTATACATACAGTGGTCCACAAAATAATGCGAGAGCGATATTTTAATCAGTTTCGGCTATTTGTCTTTTGTTTATTATTTTTTTATAAAAGTCTAGCTGGTTATACAACAAACACCAAATAAATTCAGATTTCAATCTTTGTATAAAAATTCAGAAAATGTTCACCAAAATTCCAATCTTTTTAATTTTTGGAAAAAATCATGGCATGCAGTTTTGTAGCCAATGAAGTGCAAGTTTCAAGCTGCTAAAAAATTCCGTTAATTTTTGGCAATATTTTCGCCGGCAGTGTCCTCCATATAAAAGAAAATTGCTTTGCATGGAAAAAACACCTTCAAACACCTTCAACCAAAAAAAAAAAAACGCAAAAATCAACTTTTACCAACTTGAATCTTGCACTTCATTGGACTAGAACCAAATGGGCTACAAAACTACCTACCAAGATTTTTTCTAAAGATCATGATCAAAAAGTTTGAAATTTTGGTAAAGATTTGCTAAATTTTTATAATTTTTTGTACAAAGTTTTAAATGTAAATTTATATGGTGTTTTTTATATAATCAGCTAGACTTTTATGAAAAAATAAATAAATAAACAAAGGACAAATAGCCAAAACTGATCAAAATATCGCAATCCTATTGTTTTGTGGATGGTGAAATAAAATAAATTATGTACAATGTGAGACTTAAATAACATTTCCAATAATGAGAACAACAGACCATAACAATATCGATTCAAGTAAAAACTTCCAAATAAAAAACGAACTGTTTTGAAATGAAGATTCAAAACCTATGTACATAGATAGTTCATGCCAATGAAAACGAAAGACTGTTGACACAAACTCACTCATTCTCGCATTTCTTCATAGTAAATTAATAATGGCCGATAGTCTTAGTTACTAGTGCCTTTTTAGAATAGTAATCTAATTAGTTATAATTGTATTTGTTGGAAATAAATAAATAAATTAATTCATTAATTAACAAATATATTTAAGACATGTTTGCGAAAGTGTAGTAGTGCATAGCACCTAGCACTTAGTATGTATGCGAGCAAATGCAGGCGCCTCAACAATTCCGCGGAGATCGTTCGTAACAAGTTATTTACATTAAAATGTTCAATTAATGATGATCAGCGTTGAGAATAAATTAAAAATGTCGATTATTTACATAATTATACATATATGCAGATATATATATTTGCAGTTTTATTGCGGATATGTAGTTATTTCGGCACCTGCGCAGCTGCAACACAAATCACCTTTTACCCAGCAGTCCGATTGCAGGTGATCAGCATCAAGTCGGGTCGGTTGGCATTATTCAACATCTTTATACTTACAGCTTGTAAGTACAACGAAGCAACCACCAGTTTGCGGTTTAACCGTTAGTTGTCTTTTTATTTATTAAACAACTAAATATTAATACTAGGCACCTTACGTACATACTTATGACGTAGAAACAGCGTAGATATGTAGCTATGCAAGTACATACAGTATACATAGATAAATAATAAAGTGCCCATCCTAGATCGTTTAGATAATCGTTTATATAAATGAATACAAAAGTAAATTGGAAGAAATTTTATCTGAACCAGCTAAACCTATAATAACGATTTTTATGTTTAATAAAAAATAAAGTATTAAATGTGTGGAGGATATTACAATTTTTAATTATATAATATATGCGCCTTTCATAGTGTAAGTGTAGATTCTACATACATACATATCGAGGAACCAGTTTCAAAACCGCCTAAATCCCCATTGTGACAAAAATGAGATTTGCTAACCCTAAACTCCAGGCATCGAGATTTACGCATAAGTATCGTAAAATCGTTATTAAAACAACAGACCTGTAAAATAATAGCTTGAGAAAATACCGCCTATCAAAGCAATGCCTTCAAAGAGAACCCGTTTTTTCGCTCTCCTCTAAAATTTGAGTGCAGTAAGATAGGCGGTTTCGCAAAAAAACATTGACGATATGCAGTACGTATAGAATCCAAGAGAATGAAAGTTGTGGCTTATGCAGACGTTGTCGATGTTCCTTTATTGCGAATCTGAATAGTTTTGAGTGCATGATATATGTATGCTACACTGAAATTCACTAAAATCGCCATGCGGCTGTAGGTTTGCAAAGTATGCGGCTTCAAAATGTTGAAGATGTGCTAGTTCTTGACACCCGAGTGACAAACCACGCTAACAAACAACCAATGCAGGCGGCGGCATCAGCTGACACACATAAAGTCAAATGTCACTTGCTCTTTAATATCATTTGTGGGCCGAAACAATCGATTTAATATATCTTAACGATTCCTTAGAGATGGTAACATTGACAAAAAAAAAAACGTACAAGCGTGACTTCCAAGTCATACAAGAAGAGAATACTTGATTGTGAGCATGTCATTACAATACCGACAAGCGAGCAGGGAACAGGAATCAGGAAAGAACACAGATTTCTCATTATATTCTACATTGCCAAGAACAGCTAAAAGAAGGTAAATTTAAACAATTACTTATAATTGTAAAACAGCGCCAATCAAGAAGAAGTGCCTTCTAGACACAATAGATCATTACAAGCGGTGCTAGTAATTTTAAGGTCCTCAT